TTATCTTCTGTAGATAAGTCAACCTGTAAACAAAACCTGAGCAAAAAAAAAAAAAAAATTCTTGCTTTGGAATGCTTTTAAAATGGTACAAGTTGAGAACTCAAGGCTGCTTATATTTCATCTTAATTATATCTATGTATGATACAAATGTTTTAAGGTCACTTCCACTTTGGCTTTTACAACAGGAATCACTTTATGGCATTTATAGGCTGGCATTTTTCATTGTAATTTGATTTGTTTACAATATTCTTATTGTTCCCCCTTTTTAATGAAGCCAAGAGCCAAGATTTTTCTTTTGTCCTTTTGTCTTTAATGTTGTGTTTTCCAACTTTGGTTATACAAAAGTCTAATCTCATTAGGTATTCATCAAGAATGGATCCTATAATCAAATATATTCAGTAAACATCTCTATTTCTGATAGGTCTGATGTTACTTCTCCCCTTTCGTATTCTATTTTAGGTTTTTTTTTTTTCCTTTTTCTCTGTGAGTCTAGGTAGAGGTTTGTCTGTTTTTTCAAAGAACCAACCTTTGGTTTCTTTGATCTTTTGGACTCTTTTTTTTTGACTTCTGTAATTCATTGATGATCTATTTTTTTTTTTCATTCTTTCTACTGATTTTTGGTTTTGTTTTTTCTTCTTTTTCTGATTCCTTGAGATGTAAAGTTAGATTATTTATTTGAGCTGTTTTTGATGTCTTGATGTAGACCTGTGTTCCTATGTGCTTTTCTCCTAGTACTGTTTTCACTGTGTTTCAGAGGTTCTGGTAGCTCATAAGTTCATTCATCTCCTCTTTAAAAAAAAAAATATTCTTTAATGTCCTCATTAATAGTCATTTAGTAGTATGTTCAACCTCTACATAATAGAGATTTTTTCCTGCTTCTTTTTGTGGGTGATTTCTAGTCTGATATCATTGTGATCAGAGAAGATACTTGATATGATTTCAGTCTTCATGAATTTATTTTTTCTTGTTTTATGATCCGCAATTTATCTAGAATATTACATGTGCACTTGAGAATGTGTAGTCAGCTTTTTGGGGGTATATTGCCTATAAGTGTGTATTAATTAAGCCATGTGGTCTAATTTCTCATTTAAGACTTGCTTCCTTATTGATTTTATTTTTTAAAGATTTATTTATTTATGTATACAAGAACTGGGGTACAGCCCAGAGGCGTAGAGGGTGAGAGGATTTACCAGGGGAACAGAACAGGCAGACTGACCAAAGTACACTGCTGAGGGGAGCAGTGGGTGAGTCAGGAGAGGTCTGCTGTGCCATGGGGGTCTCTCCCTGGCTAGGGATCAAACACATGCTGCAGTGGCTGCCAAGAGCTTCATAGCTTGCGTCTTAACTCTTTGTGCCAATAGGGAGGCCCTCCTTGTTGATTTTCTATCTTATTGATCTGTCCATTGATGAGAGTAAGGTGTTGAAATCCATTGCAACTACCATGTTGTTTCCAATGTCTTTTCTAGATCGTGAATTTGCCTTATTTGATTTATGTGCATCAGTGCCTATATTGATATATCACTGAAAGTTATGTCTTCTTGATGTTTATATCCATAATAATTATATAATGTCCATCTCTGTCTGGTTACCCTTTTTAGCAGGAAGTCTATTTTATCTGACTTATAGCTAGTGGAATGTGGCTGTTCCTATCTTTTTCAGGTCCCTGTGTACTTGTCAGATTGTTTCACAACAGTTTACTCTGAGCCTATGCTTATTTTTGGATTTCAGATGGAATTGAGAATTTATAAATTTTAATGATGTTTTTAAATTTTGAAAAATCAAGGATAATAAAATGGCACAAGATTGGTAGATACTGTGTAGGATCTGGATTGGTGATGTTACAAGGGGGAAATGTTCAATGACATATTGTAAGCTTTCTGAAAAAAATAAGTTATTAATGTTTATCTTAACTAGCTCCTTTAGCTTGTCACAATGGGATTTCAGTTAAGTACAAGCATACAAAAATAATGGAGTGTATCTGGAATCATCCTCATTTGCCCTTGTATTATAAGTTTGAATTTAAAGATATTCGTTGAATAGCTCAGGAATGAAATTAATGGAAATTTTAAGAAACTAATTATCCTACACTCTATAGACTGAATCCTTATTCCCTAACCTGCTTTCCTATTTTCTTATTAGGAAAGTAGAACCATTTTCTTATCTATAACTTAGGGAAAAAATAATGTACTAATGTTTTACCAGGCAAAATTTACTCCATGGGAGTATTTGCACAATTTATCCCCCTCTTGTCACCACCACCACCCCCCAATGTGATTTTGCATCTGCTTGTTTGTATTATGAGCATTGTTCAGAATAATGAATGGACAGTTATCCCCAAAAGAGCTGGAGAGAGGCTAGTGACATTTTGTATATAAGCAGTGCTGGTATGAAACAATAATACTCTCACTTACATTTCTTACTTCTTTATTCACCCAGCAAGGCCAAGGTTAGCTTGGAAACAAAAACACCAAGATTGGGCTATATCAAAAGTATCAGATATTTCACTGAAAGTAAAAGGGAATCTCACATTAGCTATGAGTTTAGGAGAAAAAGGTGACTATGGAAGAAGGACTTAAGGAAATTTGTGAGGTTTATGGATAACATTTCCTGTGGAAAGGCTAGAAATGTTCTTCAAATATTCTTGTCTATCAAGTCAGTGTTTTGGGGATAGAGCACAGCCTGGTGTTGAAGAAAGCCCATTGCATATTAGTTATATATTTTAGTCAAACAAGTTGCCTTCTAGTTCATTATATCTTACCACTTCCCTTTTATCAATTCCTTCCCAGTTTCCCTTTTCAAGATATGTAGTTTTTCCAAGAATATTTGCATCATACCTCAGTCTTCAGTGATTTGAAGTATCATAGAAATCCTATAAAATGTAGCAGAAAAGACCCAGATTCCCAATCAGAAAAAAAATAATATTTCATATAATTCTTACATCATTTTTTCATTTTTGCACAATATATGCATTATCATTTTGGTTATATGCCCCATACAATTGGACCTGCCCTTATTATTTTTTTTTTATAGAGGCATGTTTTATTTATTTGTTTGTTTGTTTGTTTTGTTTTGTTTATACATGCACTGGGTACAGTCAGAAGCACAGGAGGGTGAGAGAATTCACCAGAGCCAGAGCGGGGAGCAGAGCAGGCAGAAGGACCGAAGTACACTGCTGAGGGGAGCAGCGGGCGGCAGGAGAGGTCTGCGCGCCATGTGGGACCCTCCTCCGGTGGTAGGGGAGCAGCCGGGGATCGAACTGGCGCCGCAGAGGCCGCGGGCAGCTTCGCAACCCAGCGCTCAACCACTGCGCCACCGGGGAGGCCCGGACCTGCCCTTATTTTGACCCTAGTCCTTCCTCTCCCCTTCCCTCCCCCCGACACCCCCGTGGTGTGTCTCTGGTTTATTGTTGCTTGTTGATTTTGATTTTTACTTTGTATTAATTAGTCTTTTTCCTGGTCCCTTATTTAGGTTTTCTAAATCCCTGCTATGAGTGAGACCATCAGTATTTTTCTTTTTCTTTCTGAACTTATTTCGCTGAGCAGGAAGATGTGGTATATATACTCAATGTAATATTACTCAGCAATCAAAAAAATAAGCACATGCAGTTTGCAGCAACATGGATGGAGCTAGAAGGGATCATGCTCAGAATAAATTCTTAATTCCAGAATCACTTATTACACAGCTTTATTGCTCCAACGCTTGGCCCAGAATATGCTTTTAATTCATGATAGTGAAGTTGTTGACACAGAATTTTTCTAGTTAGTTTTAATGACCTGTAGGAATTTTGAATTTTTATTAATATCAGAAACAAGTGAAAATAATGAAAATAATTACATTTCTTTGTTTAATGAAACCATTTTTATTTTCTAAGCATTGTAAATGCTTATCTCCAGCAATGCCCTTAATGCATTATAAATTTATATTTCTGTCTCTCAAATAGAACTGTTTGATTATTGAGAGTAGGGACAATGTGTTGCATCTTAGTATTTAGTACAGCACCTGGTACATTTAATGAATTGCACAAAAGTTTAATGAATGAATGGTTGGATTTTTTTTTTTTTTAAGGAGAATCACTTATGGTTATAAAGAAGATTGGAAATTTTACATTTGTTTCCTTAAACAAACAAACAAACAAAACAACTGTGGTATAATATAAGTAGCACAGGAATTAGAGTCAGAACCTCTGGACTCAAAATCTAACTAGCCATTTATCATCTGATTTCTTTGAATAGCTCACTTATGTTCTCTCAACCACTTTCTTCAAATACAGATAGTATTCCTTATACATGGTCAAGATGATCTAGTGAAATTATAATTCTGAAATTTTTAATATCATTTTATGAAAAATCTGATTAAAATCTACTTAATCAATCTGAATTAATAAATTATTGGCCAATGATAGAAATTAACATATTTCCAGAAAAGTGCCAAGAAGTAATGTCCTCCAAACCTCTCGATTACTTAACACTAGGAAAGGCCACTGAGACTATGAAATTTCACTTATTATGAAGACATTTTCTTACTCTTAAATAATAGGAAAAGTCTGAATGACCTTTGCAGGGACTTACCCACCATATATTCTATGACTCATGAAAGGAAACATAGTTTGTACATAAATCAGGGGAATCTGACTTTCCTCTGTGCCAAAAATAAAGCAAAAATTTAGAAATGTCAGATCTGTAGAAGCTCTTTATTTCTTTGGTCAATTCAAGGAACATCCTCATCCTTTAATCTTTTCAAATGAACCACATCCTGTATGCAATGTGAGTATATTAAGGAGCAGTAGAGAGATGGAGTTTTAATTTTTACCAATTCAATTTAAATGCAAATGTTAAACACTCACACGATGCCACTGTGTACATAATTAAGCATCATTATATACTACATGAATCATTCAGAAACCTCCCAAGAGCCATTTCTACTATGTAAAACATGCATTATAGTGACAAGTGGTGGTGACGTATACTTCTGTCCGCATTAATACTCCTTTTGAATTATAGGTCAACTGATTATGGGACAACCTATGAGAAACTGAATGATAAAGTTGGATTGAAAACAATTTTGAGCTATCTCTACGTGTGTCCTACCAACAAGCGTAAGGTAAGAAATGTATATTCAGCTCCTTATTCATGAATGTGACTTCTGTCTGGTTGGCTGACCTCTCTAGTCACCTAAAAATTCATTGCTGTTATTCTGGAATTGGTGATGTAAAGAGAAGTTGATTGATGTTAAGGTGGTGAAATGTCTGACATATGGTAATTTGCAGATCAGCAACTGTGAGCATAGGAGGGCGAGGAGTAGGTATATGATAATGTTTCCGAAAGGCAGCTACAGTCTTGAGTGGATGCAGCTGACTCTTGTAAGGATTCTGACCAGTTAGTCATAGGAATAAAAATGAGCCTTGACAAGATAGAGAAAAAGAAGGTCTTGTCATCTAATGTCCCCTATTTTTTCTCTGCATGGAATAAGTAGACTAGGATTTAAGTGAATAAGTACTTGTCCTACAGCAGGTTGGGAGTTTCATTTCTGAGTTTATTCAGGCTTCACGTGTTAGGATCGAGGTGTTTCTGAAGGAGCTTTGGAGATCATCCTGCACCTTACTCTAATTTTACTGGTCAGGAAACTAATGTTCAAAGAAAGGAAATGATTTGCCCTCATCACAGAGTTCAAGTCACAATTGGAACCAGATTTCAGGTTGCTTAGTTGACAATCATACTATTTCTGCTACATTATATTGCTCCCATTGTTATCTCCTCTTTGGAGATGCTATTTTCTCAGTAAGAAAAATACTCATTTTTACACGAGGAAACCCTGTTGTCTTAGGAGGAGAGTGATACTACATTCGATGTTTGTTTTTTATAAACTTTAATTATCAAAATTTGAATTCTGAGATCCAATTTCTAAGTATTATATTGATTACATAAAACAGCACACACTACTAGAAAATAGAGAAGTGCTGTTCCTTGATACATCCTAAACTGTATTCTGCCTTGATGGTAACACTGATATGCAGGCTCTCCTTTCAGTTTGTGTTAATGTCTCAGACCTTGGGGAGGCTCTGCATTTTGTTATTTGGAATGAGGATGTTGATTGAGAACATTTCTACAGAAACCCTCTTCTGCAGCTGCACATCCTAAGCACTAGATGATCTCCTAATGGTTAAGCCCTGGGTACACCCCCTGTTGCAGTGCATTAAGATCATGTAACTGTGTCATGAAAAATTTCCTCAGATGCTTCTGTTATGTGTCTTGGATTAAGAACCACTCACATAAAGTGTGATGTTTCCTAAACATTTCAAGTTCTTTAGTAGAAACTGCATCACCTAGTAGTTGTGCCTAGATTTTAGAGTCAGATGATTTGAGTAAAAACCCATCTCAGCTAAATAGTGCATTACTGTTATAATTTATTTAATCTTTCTTAGCACAGTGCCATCAAATTTAAAATAGTGATTATTATAGTATAATATCTTCCTCAGAGGGAAAGTTGTAAGGATTCTCTGCAATAAGGCATTTCATATATTTACAACAGAGAAGAGTTAAGTCTTAATGTTTCCTCTTCTCTTTATTCTCCTTTCCTCATTTCCCTCTTTCTTCTCTTTCATATAAGTATAGAAAGAAGTTGGAAGTAATAGTAACAGTTATTCTCTATAAATAGCAGTATTTAGTAGAACTTTCTGCAATACAAATGTTGTCAAATACTATATAGCTAGCTAGTGTGACTAGTGAGTAATAAAATATGGCTGGTAGGATAGAGGAACTGAATTTTTTCATTTCTTTTAATTGTAATTAAATTTAAATAGCTACACATGGCTGATGACCACAGTATTGGACAGAACTATTCAAGTATGTCAACTTCATAAATGTAGATCTATGCCATGAATTTTCCTTTCTTTCCCCTTACTTGCTGATGATTGGTCCAACATCAACAATTATATCAAAACAATTTTGATCTGGTAATAACAGCCCTAAATGGAGGAACTGACATTATATCCTTTATTTTTATTGTGAGATTTAGTTATGTTTGTTAGTTTTGACTTGCTTCTTACAGCACCCATCAATTTTTCTTCTAGTTCACATTTTTAGTAAACTCCATTTAACCATCAACAACTATACTAGGAAATGTGCTATGCCCCATAGAACACAAGAGAAATAAAACTAGCTTTCTACCCTCAAAGGTTCTGTGTTGTAATAGTAAACATAACAAAATGTTTTATAGCTAAAAGTTCCCTTGACATTCTTTCCATTTGGAGGTGACTTTGGATGAGTCATTTGCATTTTCCCATTTGTAAATTGATTCAAGCAAAAACAAAGGGATTTACTGCCAGAGGAAATTTTAGCATTGTTCTAATTAGTGATAGAATCTCTGTTTTGATGCCTTTAGACAGGAATAATAGGGGAAAAAAACGAGATGCTGATATTGAATGTGATTATAGGTTTTTCTATAGTTGAAGAATTTGTGGCAATGATTTGGAAACTACAAGAGTGTTTGTAGGAGCAGAACTTGAAACACCATCCTCTCATGCCCAGATGTAGCTTCTAAGATTGCAAGGAAAGCTTATATAGAATACAGCAAGTGCCCTGCCATTGAATGCACTCATGTCTATGCACTACTATCACTCATACTGCATTCTTAATTTATTGCTATCTGGAGGATGTTAGAAAGAGCATTTGGCCTTGGCATTTAGGTGGAATTAAGACTTGGCAAACCCCATTTCCAGAGAAAGAAAAGTCATTGCCCATGACTAAGAGAAAACAGCTTTTCTTCCAGAAGCAGAGGTGGGTCTGAGCTGTTTAAATCATAATGTTTATGGGTGAGCCTAAGAGAAGGGATCTTTTCCTTTACAGATAAATGGGGCCTTCAGGGTCACTTTCTGAGATGCTGATAGATTTAAGAAATATTGGAGGACGATGAAGGTCTTTACAATGGTGCAAAAATCAATAAAGTTGACATAGCAGTATATTTGTGTACAGTTTTTCTACTTATGAGGTGAATTTATCACCATGAAATATGTACTCCCCTCCCTCAAAAGGGAATATTTGAACCAAAGAGATAATACCTGCACACCATTTTAAAGTGTGAATGTATTCCTCGCATTCAATGAGAGTTTATGTTAAAAGGGATAAAAAAGAAGAAATATCAAGCTTATTAATTATGCAGGACAAAGACACTTAAATTTGTTCCAATTCTCCTAGGACTTTTCTGTCTTCAGTGAAAAGACAGGCTCCTTTAACAGGTTGTATTAATTCTTTTAGGTCTCTAGGGTGCTATCTAGCAGTTAGCATCTTTTGAACCAGAAACTTCTCTGCTTATCACTTCAGTGGAAGCAACTGGAATAAAACTGGTATCAGGGTAACTGTCTTGCATTCCCAGAAAGCTGTTTGGCCTTCACATTGTTACTGCTGTTTTTAGCTGCTTGTTAGTGCAAACTCTGTTCTTAAGCAACACGTCTCCAGTAGTGGGCATCATGCCCTGGCTTTGCAGGCAGCCTTTTAGGGATATTACTGGGGTCAGAGTCAAAAACAAAGCAAACCCTTATTTACAATTTAAATTGATGATCATCCACAGTCTGTTTCTCTGAAAGTCTTCTGTAAATTACAGTTGCTTTCCTTGCATTCCTGTGTTTATAGTAAGAACTGGTATCTTAACATACGTCAGACGAGGGTTAGGATTAGGGTTAGGGTTACAAGACATGTTCCCAGGTCTTAGCTCATGTACACTCTCTTTCCCAGGAACCCTGCACTTGGCCTTTGATATAGGAGGTGGGGGCATAAGAGCAGGAATGAGTGCATCCTATTGCCAGATGACAGGCAGACTAGCTGTCACCATGTCTCGGAAGGAGATCCCTTCCCTCCCCTAGTTCATGATAAATCCCATGGCTTGTTCATGTCAGCAGTGGTTTATTGGCTGCATACATACAATCTGCTGTGAGAAAAGATGATTTAACCTGTACCTGAAAAGAACAGATGGGATATAGAAGGTGATGGGAAGAACTAATACAAATGTAGCAAGGAAAAAAAAAAATCAATGCTGAAATCAAAGCCTCACTCTTAAATTCTCACTGAGTTTATTTGTAGTCTGCCTAAAATGAAAACTTCTTTATACTCTGTGTGCATTTATCAGCTGTACCTTTCTCATCACCCCCAACCAACCTTAGCTGTTCTCCTTTTACAAAGTGTTGTGTAACATCTTCGAGGATTAAAGAATTCAAAATCTCAAGTGGAATTCATTGGGGGAGAGAAGAAAGGGAAAAAGTGTTTTGTTGTTTTAAACTTGAAACAGCCTATTCATTTAGTTGTTATGTCCTTGTATTATGCACACTATGTTCCCAGAAAAGAAAAATCCTAGAGAGTATTCATGCTTTGTATTTCCTGTGTCCCCTCCATACACCACCAGTTCCCTCTCATTTCTGTGTTATCACCACTTAATTAATATCATTCCTGCTGAGGGAGCCTTCCAAGACTTGCATCCTATAAATAGGACCCTGGCTTCTCAGAACACATTGATCATTCCTGCGGGTCTCTTGGTACGTGCCAACATTAAACACTGTTTGCATTTTCTCCAGATGTTTAGGTTTTAATTACCATACTGTATGTGGCACTTTCTAAATAAGCATTTGATTATTATCTTCTTGCCTTTTTTCTTTATATACTGGGCAGGCTTAGGTTCCCTGGACATTTGCTTGGGTGGTCAGTATCATACTGTGACTCTTGGGAACATGGCCGAGCTTATGTTTGGAGCATCTTATGGAAAATTATGAATCATTAAATCAGAACCTAAAAGCTGTTGGAGAGATCCAGATTTGGCTTTTTCATTTACGATAGAGAAACTGAGTCTGCAGCAGTTAGTGACTTGCCTGAGGTTGCCTGCAACTGGCAAATGAAAAACTAAGATGATTAAGCCATTGAAGTAAAACTCAATTCCACTAATGAGATTTTCTCATTCTCTCTTTTCTCCAGGACATCTGCTACTCTTTTCTAGCACTTTCTCTCTTACAATCATGGTTGCTTTTGACCACGTGTAAACCTCCTACTTCCCTTGTTCTGCAAGGTCCTAGGTGGGACAGAGTGCCATGATGAGCTTTGCAGCTGAGCACAGGGCCT